TCAGTGTTTAGCGAGCAATGGTTGTCAGGCTTGTACGGATTTTTACATGGGACAATTTACCGCCTTAAAATATATTGGTTGTGGTTCGTAAGCCTTTATTAGTAATTTATACGGACGGCGGATGAAACAGGATGACCGGGATCAAAACCACGTGGGATCAGTCACCGGAATTCCTCTTAAAACATTTTAAAACCAAGACTACTACTCTGTGCCACTAGAATCTAATTTGAAGCAGCCTTGTATGTCACGTGACTTTGTAGTTAGTGCCTGTCCATTTAACATAAATATCGAACCTAAATAAATGTACACATTGGCGTGCACGTAAAAGATCCCTTGGCAGTTGGAATTCGATATAAGAGTAAGCCGTAGTGCCGCTGCCCGGGCAAAATTTCCCTCATAGCACACTGTATAGCTTATGTCCATCTTCATTAGCCCAGTTTAGGAGCAGAACAGTAGGACGTTAATCCCCATTTCATTTCATTTCACAAGGAACATGCTGAATCTATGTAAAACAGTCGTTTACTCAGGGACTGGGCGAAAGGCTGAAATTATATTATTAATTAAATTCATAAAAAAAATAAGGACTGATAATAAAAATAATAAAGGAGTCTGTACGCTTAAAATCCAGCTTGACAAAAGGCCGCCAACACATTTAATTAATTAAATCTATCAAAAATAAGTGCAAGGAAATTGTAACAAAAAAACTGGACGCGGTTTGTCTAACGTCTGTAAACAGGTGTGTGAGAGCGTAATACAGTTGCAACAAGATGGCGACGTGAAATGTCTGGACTTAAATTACCATTGAAATATTTAGTGTATTATTATGTTTATTGGTTCCATTACAATGGAGTGTAAATTGTCGTTAATTCTTGTCACTTTTATGTAATTCATACAAGTTATATAAATATATTTATATATATGTTTTGTACAATTTAATTAATTTAAATATGTACATGTTAAATCACTGTTTAAAATTTGAAATAAATGTCATCTACTAGTTTAATAAACCTGTGCTTGGAGGATGCCGAGTTGTATAAACGAGGTTACAAGGTCGCTGTAGATTATAAGACCTGCTATATGTGCATGTAATGAGGTTTGTACGTGAGAAGGGGTCGGGTCACATGTTTATGCTTGGTGGGGGGTTTCATAAGACATCAATCAGCCCACAAGAGAATTATTGAAATAAAAATATTCCAAATTTCCACATTTCCACATATAATGTCTATGCCCAGTCCTGTAGAAAGGCGAAATATTTATTGTTAAATATACAGCATATATTTCCTGTTAAACCTCAAATGTACTGCCAGAAACAAAAACTTACCTTGCAACGGCCTTGAATCAACATATATGATATACGTGTATGCATATTTATATATTTTTAAGAAATAAAGATATATTCAACTTCATGTGGCTTACCATGTATCTAGAAGGGTGGGGGTGTTCGCTCGTTGAGTAAGGCACTGGCTTGATAACCAGGAGATCTCAACTTCATGTGACTTACCAAGTAACTGGAGGGGGTGGGGCTTCCGCTTATTGAGTAAGGCACCAGCTCGCTAACCAGGAGGCCTCGGGTTCCCTACTGGTGTTAACCGATAAAGTCCGTCGGGATTTTCTTGAGTGGCTTCCCCTAATCAGTGGTTTAAAACGGAGGGTCTGACAAGGAAGAGCTTCTAGTGGTTCAAATGCACGTAAAATAACTCTTGACAGTTGGAATTCATTATCACGGTGGTAGCTGAAAAGTAGGAAGTTTAACCCCATTTCATACATTATTATCAAACATACAAACACTGACCTTCATAGAACAAGACATTTTACGAATAGGTTAGCTGAAGTTGAAAACTGTGTATTTTAGCAGATAATCCCCGTGGCAATCGAGTAAACACGAATATTTCAAACAACAGATCTGCCTCAACTGAGTATGATACCAACTGACCCAGACAATCGAGTCTAACAATATCTCGAATAGTGATCATTGTGACAGGTTGCCAGCATGTTGTACCAGTGGTCTAGCTTGCGATATTTAATCTCCTCATTTACTGTAAAATGTTTTTTTTTTAAAAAAAACCCTTAGAATAATATTATTATCACGTCATATTTGGGGGTCACGGTGGCTAAGTGGCCAAGACGCTGGCTCGCTAGCCTGGAGGTCGGGTGGTCGATCCCTGCATTGGCCGAGAATGTTCATCCAGATTTTCCGGCGTGGTTCCCCCTTGTCAGTGATGCAGGACGGATGGCCTGACAAGGACAGCTGTCTAGTCGTTCGGATGGGACGAAACACGGAGGTCCCATGTACACATTGGCGTGCACGTAAAAGATCACTTGACAGTTGAAATTCGACATAAGAGTAGGCCGTAGTGTCGCTGTCCTAGAAAAATTTCCCTCATAGCACACTGTATGGCGTATGTCCGTCTTCATTAGTGAAAATTTGAGCCGCGCAAAGATACTTAATATCAAAATCAATGGGGTGGGGTGGGGGGGTAATTAATAGTTTATCACAGCATTCAGCATTCAGTGGAGTTACTTCCCATTATTTGGAGTGAGAGAGATGGGGTTTAACGTCCACTCGACACAAACTAGTGTCGCTGTCCTAGAAAAATTTACCTCATAGCACACTGTATGGCGTATGTCCGTCTTCATTAGTGAAAATTTGAGCCGCTCAAAGTCAATGGGGGTAATTAATAGTTTATCACAGCATTCAGCATTCAGTGGAATTACTTCCCATTATTTGGAGAGAGAGAGAGAGAGAGAGAGAGAGATATGGGGTTTAACGTCCACTCGACACAAACTAGGTCATTTCGGGACTAACATATGGTTTAATTTTATTTCAATAATTCCCTTGCGCGTCTTCAGCAGTGGGAGGAATGAATTAAGATATAAAAGCGCAGTGTCTAGTGCGGTGTTTTGGTGCATTCTAAGGTAAATTCTGATTATATTAGAACATAAGTTTTAAACTTCAGTCAAGGGACGAATCCCAAAATATAATATGTTATATCAAGTTATTTTGTTTATTTCTGTAAAACTGTGTCTTAATTTATAGACTGGATTGTATAGCGGATACGAGGACGTTCATGAAAGATAGAACTGTCGCTCCAACAGAATGGTAAAATAATTGTGTATTTTATGTTATAGTCGTATAGTCTGGGACGATATACATTTTGGATGTGGACCCTACTTCATTTTGTAGGCCAAATGTTCCAGGATGTGACTGAGACTGAACAATGTTAACACGGTTTGTATATTCCAAATAATGGGGGGTGTCCGAATGGTTAGAACGTGTGTGCTGTATCATAAGACCTTTAAATTCAGGGTTAGGAACAATGAGAGAGAGAGAGAGAGAGAGAGGGAGAGAGAAATGGGGTTTAACGTCCACTCGACACAAACTAGGTCATTTCGGGACTAACATATGGTTTAATTTTATTTCAATAATTCGCTTGCGAGTAGGGGTCTTTAGCAGTGGGAGGAAACCGGAGGACCCGGAGAAAACCCACGAGGTTGGACAGGCGACAGGAACAATGAAATATTGAGACACAAAAATGGGAGTCACATCAAACACGAATGCCAAAAAATGCCCCACTCCCTCGTTATACGGGGGGTTGGATGGCTGAATGGTTAGCGTGCGCGCGCTGTATCATAAAGTCTGTCATTGAGTCGACTGGCGTGGTTTCGAATCCCCGGTTGTACGTGACAAGGAGTAGGGTCGCCTGTCCAACCTCGTGGGTTTTCTCCGGGTCCTCCGGTTTCCTCCCACTGCTAAAGACCCCTATGCGCAAGCGAATTATTGAAATAAAATTTTTAAAAAACCCATATGTTAGTCCCGAAATGACCTAGTTTGTGTCGACTGGACGTTAAAACCCATTTCTCTCTCTCTCCCTCGTTATACTTCTGGCTATGGTCAGTTTGCTATTCGAGTAATGTATCAGGGATGGCCTTGGGCACATTTGGAAAATATCTTAGCAAAATTTACATAAAGAAAGCAAAATTCAGACGAGAAATTACCCAACAGTTAAACTATAAACATAAAACTCGCGTATAATCCCCGCAGGTGTAGGGGGGGTTGGATGGCTGTATCATAAAGTCTGTCATTGAGTCAACTGGCGTGGTTTCTGTTGTACGTGACAAGGAGTAGGGTCGCCTGTCCAACCTCGTGGGTTTTCTACGGGTCCTCCGGTTTCCTCCCACTGCTAAAGAACCCTACGCGCAAGCGAATTATTGAAATAAAATTAACCATATGTTAGTCCCGAAATGACCTTGTTTGTGTCGAGTGGACGTTAAACCCCATTTCTCTCTCTCTCTAAATAATGGGAAGTAACTCCACTGAATGCTGTAACAACCGGTCATGTCTATGCGCCACCGTTTGTATGAGGTTGAAAAATTGAGTTCTAAGATACAAACTTGATGTAACATTCTATAAACAAGTAACTATCACTCGTGTGATTATATCACCGTAACCAACCTTTTAACTCTCTGATATACCCTCCTGCCTTCTGAGTCGGAGGAAAGTGCCGTCGCACACTACCTCTCAAATAAAGATAAATTGGATTTTGAAATATTTTTTGCGAAGGGGATCAAGTAAATTCCCTTTCCTCGTTTTGAATCTGATTAAAATACAGATCGCTATATATGGTTTCGCTTTTTTCTTATACTTTCAATGCCCTGTACTACATGAAGTTCTGGCCGGATGTAGAGGGAGGTCGTGTCAGGGGTCACACGAGCAACTTTTTACCCCATGACATCAGATTAACCAATCAGCGTTGATTTTTAAGTGGGTGTTTGGAAATACAACTTTTGTTTTATCTTCGCTACGAATGTCTATCCCCCAGTTCTGTGCATCGAATGCCAAGAACTCGCCAGTGAAGACAAGTAAAACGAAATTTTGAACCCTAAAAATATAATTTTAAAATCAAAATACAATTAAGAATTTATTTTGATTTCAGAATATAGATATTTATTTATTGTAATCAAAATATAATTTTAAAATCAAAATACAATTTAGAGCCCAATTTAATTTAAGAATACTGATATAGATTTGTTGTAATTAAAATAATATACGAGAATACAAATATAGATTTAAATTCAGGTTTCTAGACAGGAAAGGGTTAATTGTATATAATAAAATAAACGTATGGTCTAGTGTGATGGAAAAAACTAATAGGGTGTTATAAAATAAAACGTTTGGTCTATTATGATGTAAAAGGCATTTGCTAGGTGTTGGTAATAAGACATAAATAAGACATGATGTTACATACACACGTTGCTTTATGACATATATCAATTACATCTAGACAGCAGTAGTGATAAAATGAATCCGAATTGCATACATCACAAGTATATGATGTTACCCATGTTGCTTTATAACATATATCACCAATTGATGTCATTACGTCTAGACAGCAGTATAGGGATTAAATGAATCCAGATCGTTCAGTTTAGTTTACATAATAAATGACCCCAAGAATAAAAAGATAGAATAAATTTAAATTGGATTACATGTAATACAAACATATATATGTGCCAGTTGTTGAGTGTTGATATTATGTAGGTCGATATTCTACTTGCATTCACTGTAAATAAAAACAACATACGATTTAATACATTGAGCTTAAATATGCTTTAATATTAGTCAACTTTTATATATTCATAAACTATAAAAAAAATTAGTCAATTTTAACAGATTAATGTACTTTAAAATATAAGTCAATTTTAATGTACTTTAAAATATTTGTCAACTTTAACAGATTATTTTACTTTAAACTACTTTAAATCCCGTGAAATCAAAACACAATATTGAATCATCAATCACTGTATGTAATATATAATATTATAAATCTGTTTTATAAAATAAACACGAAGTTCAATCATCAATATTTCCCATATGTATTATAAACTATGTTCCATCAACAATGTTTTTTTATATACTATAACATATTAATATAATGTTACAGCTTCAGTATACCTAATCTTTGCTTTATAGAACAAGACCAACCGTCCATTGTGCGTTCACATTCAGGATTTGATTGAAATAGTGGGTTTTTATGAGGAAACAAAATAATGGGCGTGGTATCGTGTCGTGTAGTCCGGCATGCACTAAATAAATAAGTACCATCCTGTTATTGAAATGATTAATCATTCCGATTTTAAACACAATCTGTTAATATTTGCAACAAGTGGAATATTTACATACAAATATTAACAAGAACGTGGGCGTGGCACCACCGCTGAATCAAAATCTATAGATGCAGTCCTTAGACTACAAGTATTCCAAGTTACAAGAGAATCCGTCTGCGCAGGCGAGACGCAAAAGGTGTTCGTGACACTACACCTACGGGGTGGGCATACATCAAAATCAATAGGTGTTTTCCTTAGTGTAGAGGCAATGCATCAAAATCTATAGTGCTGTCCTTGGTGTAGAGACAATGAGTGTTTCTAGACAATCGGTTCAGATTTGCGGTCACAAAATATCAACAAAAAGGTCGCGTAGCACTACCATTGGAGTCGGGCATGCAACTATATAATAGGTACAATCCTGTTATTGATATCATTGGAACCACATCTGTTACCAATTCAGAACTGTAGAGTATTTATAGACTTATACTATTAACACAAATATGGGAGTGGCACTGCCCCGGGGGGTCGGGCATGTGCCGAATTCAACAGTTGTCGTCCGTAGGGTACAAGAAATGTGTATGCCAAGATGATTAATTGAGAATTGTGGCCTGTACGAGATACATGCAAATATTGGGTAAGGCGCCGCTCTGGGGACCGGACATGCACCAAAATGTATAGGTGGTCCTTTCAGAATTGTGGCGTGTAGCCGATGCAAACAAATATTGGGTGTGCTTCTGTCCCGGGGAATTGGGTCTAAATACAATATGGATTATTCTTAAGTATAAAGAATAAGTTCTGAGACGGCATGCGAAGAATTGTGACCCGTAGAAGATCCCTCCCCTCATACACACCACAAACAAACAGCTAATAGGGGCGACGGCGTAATGTGAACATAAAAACATGATAGGGATGATAACAATACACCACCATGTTGCAATGTGGTTGTATTAAAACAGCTTGATTGAATCTAATTTAAGTTACATTGGTGCTAGGAATAATAACACTCTATTCCATTAGTATCTCTTGTAACCTGAAACAGATACATGCATATATAATTCTTCTATTCGTTTGTCATGTTGGAACATTCGCCATCGGTGTAATACTGTGTTGACTCGTCCATTAGAACAACGTCTATCGTCAGTATAATAGTACGTTGACTCGTCCATTAGAACAACGTCTACCGTCAGTGTAATAGTATGTAGACCTTACTATTGTAACGTTTGTTGCCAGTGTTAACAGTCAGTGTTATAATATGTAGACCTTACTATTGTAACGTTTATCGCCAGTGTAACAGTCAGTATAATAATATGTAGATCTTACTATTGTAACGTTTGTTGCCAGTGTTAACAGTCAGTGTTATAGTATGTAGACCTTACTATCGTAACGGTTGTTGCCAGTGTTAACAGTCAGTGTTATAGTATGTAGACCTTACTATTGTAACGTTTGTCGCCAGTGTAACAGTCAGTATAATAGTATGTAGACCTTACTATTGTAACGTTTTTCGCCAGTGTTAAACAGTCAGTATAATAGTATGTGGACCTTACTATTGTAACGTTTGTCGCCAGCGTAACAGTCAGTATAATAGTATGTATACCTTACTATTGTAAAGTTTGTCGCCAGTGTAACAGTCAGTATAATAGTATGTAGACCTTACTATTGTAACGTTTGTCGCCAGTGTAAAAGTCAGTGTAACATTATGTTGCCCTGAATATTGGAATGTCTGTCATCAGTGTAGGCCGCTTTCCATGTACGCGTTTCCGCCAGCATAGAGCCATAACATATCTTTGTAAATACTGAACGGAATTGAACCATTATTGGTCTGCTATTAGAGATTCATGGGGCATGGAAACTTTGAGCATTGTGATAGAAATATAACATCCACATTTAATACTCATTCATAAAGTAAAAGTCATAAATCAGTTTAGTTTCGTCAAATTCTGGTTGTTAATGCAAAGTATTATTAACTTAGCCCGATCACACTTTTAACCGTTTATTTATCAGATTTTCTTAACCAATGTACACATAGTTATCTTAAATTACAAAATTATTTAAAAATCCGTTTACTCTTTGTTCACATTGGATAAGCTCCCGAACTTCACGTCTATAGATATTTTCTCAGCAATATTACAATTACATATATTATTCTATATGCATTGTACAATATTACAATTAGATACATTATTTTATTTTAAAATTATCTTTGATCGTTCGTGATAATAATTACATGATGTAGTATGTTGTATTAGTATATTAAATCCTGTATAATAAAATAATGACTTACCACTGGTAACTCTCCTCACTATAAAACAAACAAATATATAATATTTATTAACATCAAATATAAACATGATTAAAACACAGAATATAAAATATAAATAAATGATCAATAGTGATTAGATTTTATTGTCTCTGTCCAGTATGTGTGGTTTAATGGTCGAGAGCGAGACATTAAGTAATATATTGATACTGCACGAGGCGTTAGCCGAGTGTTGTTTCAATATATTACGCAATGTCTTGCTCGAGACCATTAAACTACTTAAAATACAGATTACAGTATCACGCACGTGCGTTACTATGGAATCATCACCTGGCCATTATTTGTGGGTATTGTTTTTACGACAGCAAGAAAATGCACGTTCATCTATCACGTGATTAATATTTCCGATTACTTATGTTACGTCACAACAGCACATGACCCTATGTTAAAACGCACGTGCGGCGATTTTGTTATATCCACTTTTCAACACGTGTTTAACTTTGACTGTTGTCGAATTAGAATAAATGGAGTACGGACAATTTAAAGTAGAATGGCCCTCTATGTCCGAAACGGATAATAGTGATAATATCCTGTTCGAAGCGTCCCAAATTGCTGAGCAGGAGCTAAATTCTGACAAGCAAACAGCCAAAGGTGCCTCAAATGCAGTGTATCACACAAACAGTTCACATTTCTCCGATATAAGCGAGGACGATTGCGACTCAAAAGTGACGAAATTAGTAGAAAGTACGGTGGGGAATTCCAAACTATTCGGAAAAACTGTCTCGCATTACTCTGATAAAGCGAGGACGATTGCGACTCAAAAGTGACGAAATTAGTAGAAAGTACGGTGGGGAATTCCAGACAATTCGGAAAAACTGTCTCTGAAAATGAACTGAAAGATATTGTTTTTTCGAGATTGTCGCCAAATACAGTGGCCAAAAGTAAGTGGGCAGTTCGTACTTTTCGCGATTGGCAAAACTACCGCCGTACCGTTGCAACTACATCGGCTATTAAAACATTTCAAGGGGATTTACTACAGATGACGAAGGAACAACTCAATGACGCTCTTGGTTATTTTATTGTAGAAATTAAAAAAACAGGACGGTTCCAAATATAAAGGTCAGTCTCTCTATGAACTTATATCTGCTATTCAATATCATTTACGGCTTAACGGTGTCATCGTTAATTTCCTTGTAGATAATGAATTCATAGGAATGAGAAATGTACTTGACGCGAAAATGAAGGAACTTTCCCGTCGTGGTATTGGATTGGAGAAGAAAAGGGCAGAAATAATTTCAGTAGAAAACGAAGATATTTTGTGGACAAAGGGGATTCTGGGATGTGACACCCCTAAGAAATTGTTGGACACTAGTTTTTACTTAATTGGGTTGAATTTTGCTTTGCGGGCTGGTAAGGAGCACCGAAATTTGCGATACGGACAGAATTCACAACTTTCACTTCATACGTCAGAATCCGGAGACCAATACCTGCAATATACAGAAGATGTGTCGAAAACAAATCAAGGGGGTCTTAAGCACCAAAAATATAAAAGAAAGTTGTTAGAGCTTATGAGAACTTGGACATTCCCGATAGATGTATTGTACGTCTCTATGAAAAGTATATTAGACTCAGGTAAGCTAAATTTGATTTATTGTAGAACCCGTACCAAGCGATTCATATTTGAAACTCTTAGTCTATGTTAATTATATCTCAACAGAAAAGGAAACTTTAAAGGAGCTAAATCGCTAATATTTTGGACCTAGAAATTGACACAAATTTGTCGCAACGTATTTAATAATGTAACATGAATGTATATAAACGGATTTACATTCAATCATTTCCGTTTTTACTCTAACTTCAAATCAGCTATGTACAGAAATACGCTAGAAGTCTCCATCGAATGACAATCTCTAGGGCCTGGTTATTCTAGTCTACACCGATAGTATTTATTGCGCCTACTCTCCAGAATATGAGGTCACCGTTTGACCATGACTTGTTGGATATGTCTAGCCTCGTTCTTCGAGTCGCTTGTTACAAATGTCGCTGAAACGCATTATGGTACACGATTCGTGTAACAACGGTAAAATATTTATTTTGTCTTAAATATTGGATATCAGAAGCCCATCTTTTCCCGGTAAGATCACAACACCAATGTTGATTTAAATTGATAAATAATTCGTGTTTTTAATTTCGAAGATTTTGAATTTTAATGAGTTAGAGACTTGGCTACTATAAAGCTTGGATTGAATTTATGAAAACCAAATTGATAAACGTCCCAATCCGGGACAATGGAGAGGAATATATTATATGTTAGTATATCGTGGGTTCGTTTGCAGTGAGCCTTCGTGGAACAGTTTTGAATAATTAAAAGCGTCCATAAAACTGCGCCAATTTGTATATTTCAGACCGAAAACCTGCGCCTGTGATGCGTTTTATCTTCAACCAGCAAAGATAAATTTAAAAGAACATTGGTATAATAGCGTCCCAGTTGGAGTCCATACGCTTCAGAATTTAGTAAAGAATATGTGTTTGCGAGGAGGGATGACTGGTAATTTCACCAACCACTCGTTACGTGCGACAGCAGCCACGCGACTTTATAATGCTGGAGTTGATGGGCAATTAATTGCTGAGACTACGGGTCATTCATCAGATGCTATTCGTGTGTACAAGCGCACATCCAGTGCCCAACTTCAGGATATTAGTGGCATTATTCAAAACAAGAGAAAGAAATGTAAACAGGAAAATATATTCGAAAAAGAAATTCAAGAACCAAGTAGCAGAGAACTCTCTATTGAGAATGAACATTTCAAGTTTAATTTTAAACAAAACTATACAGTTATATGGGACAACAATCACTGGTTTATTATACACAAGCACGACGTTTCGATAAGTATTCTCTTATCGTTATCAAGCACAATGACATTTAGTAAACTTGAGGGTCTATATATATGTACAATGCGAAACCATTCTTATTACTAATCATCTACATCTCATAAGAAAGGTTAAGTTGTTACACACTTGAATATATTTCCCTTCTAGTTTACTAAGCTGGCGTACACACTTAACTGCCTCATCCCCATACTGATGATGAATATAATCCTTCAGTGGCATTTAGCAATTGGAAACATAACAAAACTATACAGTTATATGGGACAACAATCACTGGTTTATTATACACAAGCACGACGTTTCGATAAGTATTCTCTTATCGTTATCAAGCACAATGACATTTAGTAAACTTGAGGGTCTATATATATGTACAATGCGAAACCATTCTTATTACTAATCATCTACATCTCATAAGAAAGGTTAAGTTGTTACACACTTGAATATATTTCCCTTCTAGTTTACTAAGTGATTGTTGTCCCATATAACTGTATAGTTTTGTTATGTTTCCAAGTATCTACTAAAATTTGGATTTTATCTTTAGTTAAGATTTTGAGAAACGGGGCCCTGAACCATTATTGGGCTATTATTCCTATTGTAGATTCATATTTCACAATATTGTAGTTTGCAAGTGATTGAATTTAGCATTGTTATATTATTGGAAACAATTAATACACAAAACAATAACAACAATAACATTAATTCTAATATTATTGAGAAAACATTTAAAACGTATATTTAAATAGTTTATCTATTATTGATAATCTAAATAGTTATTTACTGTTGAGAAGACTTTTGGTGTCTAAAGTTATTGATCAGATGAATTAAATTGTGTATAAACAACAAAACTGTTTTTGTTATTTGAAAGACAGCAGCTTTGCCTGTCGAAAGTATTAAGTAATGTCATGACATTTCTCTGGAATTTCAAATTGGTCGAATAATATTAACCTAATATTAAATTTCTCTTTTGCTGAAATGTTCATGCTATTGATGACATCTTACAGAACAGCGTGTTTGCATTCAATTTAGCATGTAGGTCTATTACATCTTACTTTGAGAGGTAACAACCAATGGCTGACTTCTAAACTAATTTCAATTTGTAAGATTATGTAACAAGAAAGATGTAGGCCATTTTCATACAAATTATTATTAATTAGGCTTGACCACATTTTAAACTATTTCTTTTTCAGATTTTCTTCACCAATGATACATGTAGTTAACAAAATTATCTAAAAATCCGTTTACTCGTTGATCACATTGGATAACCCTTTGGAACTTCACGCCAAAGGGTAGCAGAATTTGAATTTAGTTAGCAGAAAATAAATATAGAAATAATTGAAAAAACTTACCTCAGATTCGCCAGTCGCCTATTCAAGAAAGAAATATAATATATAATTCTATTGATATACAAAAATATTCCAATGTATCGAGAAACAGGTTTTATAATATTGTAATAACAAAACGGTTGTCAAAAGTAAACGTATATTATAAGTCGTTGGGATAGGACGAAAAAGAGAGGTCCGGTGTACACATTTGCGTGCATGTAACAGATCCCTTAACAGTTGGAATTGGAAGTAACAGTAAGGCCGTTTCCATTATGGCACATTGGATGGAGAAAGCCGATCTTCATTAGCCCAGTCGGTGCAGAAAGGTAGGACATTAATCCTCCTTTAATTTCAATTCTAAACGGGTCCTTTACATGCATTGGTAATTATTACGAATTTTGTACAAATAAATTTATTGGTTGGATGTGCTTTGTTATTTTTCTAACATAATATTTTTGAAATGTAACCCAGGACATTGATTTTGTGGTAATAGTTATAACAGTTGAACACGTAATAAATTATATCCCAACATCGCATCTGCTTGTGAATCTAAACGTTTTAATGTACCGGGAATACTCTTGACAAAGCAAATCAAAACATCGAAATGAATTAAATGAATACTTATTTGTATAATCTGACTCTAAACAACTCAATATGTGAAGAATGTAAACGATACGATTGTGAAATTGATCCCGCTTAAAAATGGTAGCCATTGGAGTTAAAAAATAGTATTGTCGCTTATTAGTATAGTTAATATAATCCTTCCTAATATATTTCTAGGTACAAATCTATCCTTCTGCATCTTATTCTGTATCACATGTTAGGGTGGCCCATGTACTCTACAGAAATAAAGTCCACTGCTGATCGTTCGAGACTACCACTGAAGCGTACACATTCGCCGTGCCGAGACCAACTTTCTGACAGTATGATACTATAAATATCCATGGCACGTGCAATTCTCTACAAATCTATCAACTATTACAGCCGTAAAAAATTTATTGTTGACGATTTTGAATAGCAGTGAAATTAAGCTTCTTGGTTATTACAGCAGATTTAGAAATTACGTTCGTTTCATTTTTTAAATCGCTTTATCATTAACTGTACCGTTAAGAGCGGCATCTTTTGGTTTAGTACAAATAATATCTCTGAATCACTCGGGTTAGACAGGAACATGATACTAGCAGTAGTTTCATTTTACTTTTACAAGGTTCTTAAAACGATTGTTGAGTTACCTAACGTGCTTATTTCTAAATTCAATTTCTTGTTCTAGCTTTCTGTTATGTTTCGTAAAAAAGTAGTCTTGATTATCCCGACCTGTCAATCAGACGTAGAATGGTCGATAGACTGGTTAAGCGAGACTGATTTCAAAACAAGGGCACGTAACCTATCTTTTACTCAAAAGTGTCTGGATGTTATGGACGACAATTGGAACCAGTTTTCAGTCTATTATTTGTAGATGATTAATGGTCATAGCTTATTAAGTACAACATGATCGTTTATTTAGTGACTATAATTGTGTGAAACTGATTTGAGGCTTGGCATATATATCAATAATGTGGCGTAATTGTCGAGATATATGGAGATATATGGAGATATTTATTTATGGTGGGTCACCCTACACATGTTTCAAGTTTGAATAAATAAATGATACAATTTAATCACATCAGTTTAACAAGAGTTATTGTGAATATTATTAACCCCTACTTTACAAAGCAGATATATTTATTACATACATGTAGCTTGAACTGTGACCCAATCAAACCAAAGATAACCTCTTTTACTAGACATCTTTAATTTAAGATTGTCACCGTTTTGCTGTTGATCCGGGCTAATGAAGTGCGACATGTTGTATGCAATGCGAGAAATTTTGATAGGATATTTTTATTGTCAAGGGTTCTTAGCACACTGATCCGCAGTGAATATTTGCTTGGCCGCGACAATCACTGATAAGGATGACATTGATGCGGCTTAATGAGCTAGAAATATTAACTTTTTTCCTGCGACAAATTAAATTCTAAAACATTTTTTGTATATATTGGAAAAATAAATAAAGGCGTTTGACGAATTTGTAGTTAAAAATTATTTCCGATTTAGTGTAAATGGGTATTAAAATGACTAAAATGCAGCATTCTCTCCGAAGCAGTTATGTCTTATGTAAACAATGCACGCGCCATTCAGCCAATGATTCACACCGCGTGCTGTGAATGCACGTGTCAAGGCAGTCATCTATGACAGAGATATTATACGAGACTCGTAATTCTCTGTGAAACAGATTGGGTTCTTAGAGGTGTACGCCGATGTGTGTACTCTTGACCTCGGTTTTTCAACGATATAACATTTATGTGAACGTGTATTCGTTGTTTGAGTTCTTTTATAAACGCCAACGATAGTTAACTGATATTCTCTTTACACCACATTTAATATGATATAGGAGCCCCGTCGTAATACAACACATGACATGTTTTTGGCTGTAATAGAGATTTGGTTATCTGACGAAACTGACATTATATACTATTCAAAAAAAGTAGGGGATATTTGATTTTGGGGGCATAATACTAAAATATGCAAATGACTACGAAAAAAGTCACTATAGAACCTAACAGAAGAAACATTTCCAGTTACGTGTGACGCCCAAACGCACCAATAGCTACCGCATGGAATGCAGGTGATGCTTGGGATCATCATGGGGGTCCAACCCAAGATTTGCACGACTCTGACTTTGAATGTTACAGTCATTGTGGCATTGAATTCCAGGGTTGAAACATCAGTTTAATTGTTTTAGTGACCAGAAAACAAATTTTGATATGCGTCGGCTTACCCAAAATGAAAGGTTACGTGCCCTTGGCATGCTACAGATCGGCACAACACAGGCGGTTGTGGCGCGGACGATGAATGTTTCTCAGTCTGTCATAAGCAGGCTATGGTCCAGATACCGTGATACACAATCTGTACAGGACAGACCACGCTCAGGTCGACCAAGGGCGACAACTCAAGCCCAGGATCGATTTATCCGTACCTTGGCCTTGAGAAATCGTGTCATCACAGCAAATCAGATCAGCGCTCGTCTTCAAACAGACACTGGTGTGAGAGTGAGTGGCCAGACGATTCGGAATCGACTGCATAGGGGTCACCTTCGTGCCCGACGTCCTCGCGTGATCCCTTGTTTGAGAGATCATCACATTCAGGCAAGACGTCGTTGGTGTAGGGATCGTCAACACTGGGATAATCGACGCTGGAGCAATGTGATGTTTTCAGATGAGTCAAGGTTCACTGTTGATTTTTTGGACAGACGTAGGAGGGTGTGGCGTCGTCGAAACGAGCGCTTCCAAGACGTTAACGTCATCAGACATGATCGATTTGGGGGTGGTTCTGTTATGGTGTGGGGAGGCATCACTGTTGCTGGAAGAACGGCTTTACATATTGTTGCAGGGCGTGTTACAGGCCAGTACTACCGGGACAACATCTTGGCAGTCCATGTTGTGCCGTTGGCACGACGTCATGGCCGCTGTTTCATCTTCCAGGATGACAACGCAAGATGTCACAGGGCCAGGATCGTTACAGGTTACCTCCAACAACAGAACATCACCACATTACCTTGGCCAGCACTGAGTCCCGACCTCTCCCCCATCGAGCATGTCTGGGACATGCTTGGACAGAGGTTACGTCAACGTCAACAACGTCCTGCCAATGTCCAAGAACTTGCTGCTGCGTTGCAACAGGAATGGGACAATCTGGACCAAAATGACCTTAGACGTCTCATTAGGAGTATGCCACGTCGGATCAATGCTTGTTTGGCAAACAGAGGAGGATTTACCCGTTACTGACTTGGTTGTGATGCTGTGGTAACTTTGCTGTTTGACCCCGGGTATCATTTTACCCTTAGTATGGTCAGTCTGTGCCTTACTTAGTCTAACAATCATTTGGAATAAATCGATGAATGTGAACTTCATTTCATTTTGTCATTTGTTTCTTCGTCAGTTTCATTAGGTGACTTTAATAACACTTAAAAATCAAATATCCCCTACTTTTTTTGAATAGTATAATTGATGGAAAGACTAATATTTTACCTTTCAAAAGATACATCGTAAACCGTTATATAAGTGTTTGACCCCAACTAAAAACAATAAACCTGTCGATAGTAAAGTTGTCTGAATTAAACTTGCGAGTTATTTGTATAAAAACCTGCACTTAATAGTGTTGTTAATTCTGTGATATATATATGCTTTGTTTTATTTTAATAAAGTGTATTCAACACCAAAGAAACACTCAATACGTCATTTCAACCCGGAATATCAAATAGGTCACCGATGTAACGTCACAAGATGGCGGAAGGTGTGTTGTGTCCCGCTCCAGTATAAATATTTGGAGATATGTTCTAACTTTGTGGTATATAGTCCAGTATGGTACTTTATTAACATTTGGGGATGACATTTAGTGCATAGACAGGGGTTGTTAATGCAAAGTATTATTAATTAGGCCCGATCACACTTTTAACCGTTTATTTATCAAATTTTCTTAAGCAATGTACACATAGTAATATCAAATTATATAATTATCTAAAAATTCGTTTTCTCTTTGTTCACATGGGACATTTTCTCCACAATATTACAATTACATATATTATTCTATATGCATTGTATAATGTTACATATAGATATAGTATTTTAAATTATCTTTGATCTTCGTGATAATAATTACATGATGTAGTATGTTGTATTAGTATATTCAGTCCTATAAAACAAACAAATATATAATATTTATTAACATCAAATATAAACATGATTAAAACACAGAATATAAAATACAAATAAATGATCAATAGTGATTAGGTTTTATTGTCTCTGTCCAGTATGATTAATTATTAAATTAGAACAATTTATTCACTATACAGGGACGTTAAATTTTAATGTCAACACTATTATTATATTCCACTGTATAGGATAGTTAGATGACTTACCTGATATACCCTGCATTTCTATAAAACAGAAAAATAACTGATATTATGAATAAAATTATTATAAATCATAGATACATAATATATATACATGCTAGAAATATTTTACTTAAATCACTTTTATAAGCATAAAAATTAATACTCAACTAAACGATTCGTCATTGACATTTCTCCCTAAAATATGGAATTTATCACGGCTTAACCTACGCTAATATGTACTCAGATTGATTATTTAACATTTAATTAAGAAAACAAAATCAAAATACCAATGTTAGATAATGTCCCGGCATGGATTCAATATCGGATTTAAAACTTGATCTATCATTACATTGTTGACATCAAAATGGCGGCGGGCTTATTGCATAGCTATCAGCATATATCGATGAAATTCACATATCTTTGTAAATACTGAAAGGATCTGAACTATTAGTGGGCTATTATTCCTACTGTTGATTCATCTTTCACGGGACTTTTAGCATTATAATATTATTAGAAACAATTAATACACAAAACAATAACAACAATAACATTAATTTTAATATTATTGAGAAAACATTTAAAACGTATATTTAAATAGTTTATCTATTATTGATAAAACATTTTTTAAAAATACATCTAAATAGTTATTTTACTATGAAGAAGACTGTTGGTGTCTAAAGCTATTGAATGAATTAAATTGTAAATATGTAAACAACAATACTTATTTTGTTATTTTAGAGACAACGGCTTTGCTACGCTTAAAGCTTATGTTATATAAAGACAATTCTATAGAATTTGAAAATAGTCGAATAATATTAACCTGAAAATTCGTAGTTGAACATTCTCTTTTCCTAAACTTTTTTGAACATCTAAACCACGATTAAGTCAAGAAGCCTCTATTTATAAGATTGTGAATCAAGAAAGATATAGTCTATTTACATACAGATTATTATTAATTAGGCCTGGTCACACTCCTAGTCGTTTATTTATCAGATTTTCTAAACCAATGTACATATAGTTAACAAAATTATCTAATAATCCGTTATACCCTTTCTTCACATTCTATAACCGTGTGACCTTCACGCCTCTAGATAGCCGAATTTCAATTTAGATAGCAGAAAATAAATATAGAAAAAACTGAAAAAACTTACATCACATGCTCCAAATCCCTATTTAAGAAAGAAACATAATTTTGTTAATATACCAAAACATTCAAATGTATCAATATATGAACCGTTGACATCGAGAAACAGGTTTTATAATAAATATCTAAACTTGGTAATACCAGAAAGTTTGTCATCGCTAATCTTGTATTAGTCTTTCGGACGGGGTAACAACAGCGGTCCCGCGTACACATTTGGGCGCACTTAAAAGATACCTTGAAAGATGGAATTTGAAAAAACATAAACACTATATTTCAACTCAAAATATCAAATAAGTCTCTAACGTGACAAGATGGCGGGTGGTAGTGTGCTGTATCCCGCTCTGGTATAAATCTTAGGTTATTTGCAGCTATTAGGCTGTGGTGTGAAATTTCTAGCTAGCTTGCTTCTGTTTCTCCGTCCCGACCATTTTCGGGTGGAAAAAAAACTACATCATCTAATTTTTCTAGTATTACTTTGTATTGTCACACAACTTTTCTTTTGTCAATTCTTTGACGTTTGATAGAAAACGTAAATTAAATATGGGCTTACTTGTCAATGTGCAATGGTATTTGAATTTCGCGGTGACTCGGTTTAAACAGATCACGTGACATAATTGGCCAATCAAACATACACGACGAAAAGTTCAACAGGTCATGTGATGAAAGGTCACCTGCCCTTTGTTTACGTTTTGTTATGAACGTGCATAGCTCGAGTAGGCTACATTTTGTTAAAACACTGAGCTTAAACCGTTCACTGCGACAAGCTGGGAACAATTTAAGGTATGTGCTAACCAGTGGATCAAATTAGATGGAAATGTGCCAGAGACAAATGCCGATTTGCTGGACAAAGCTGAATCAGAACTCCAGTCAAGAATGTGCAGACAAAACTCTCACTGGATTGGGGTATGGTAGAGGCTACGAGGCCTACTTATCACATTCCACGTTACCAAACTGTGTATGAAACATTATCACGATTTCTAAATTGTTGAAGAAAGTGATGTTTAGAAACAAGCAGCAAAAAAAAAAAAAAAAAAAAAAAAAGAGAGAGAAAGAGAATAAAATAATAGGTCTGGTTAATTTGTTTAAGGGGATCGGATCATATCTTAACATTTTCCCCATTTTCTTGCAAATGCAAGCTGATGAAGATATTCTCCTAAATGCATGTCAACCCAGACCAAGGACTACTCCGCCCAAGACCACTCAGACCAATAGAGAAGTCCACTCAGTCAAAGACAGAAGACCACTATGGTTAAGACTGTGTCATCATTGAGGTGAAATACAATGTGCAGTACTCATGCCCAACAAGTTGTTATGGAGAGAGAGAAATGGGGTTTAACGTCCACTCGACACAAACTAGGTCATTTTGGGACTAACATATGGTTTAATTTTTTTATTTCAATAATTCGCTTGCGCGTAGGGGTCTTTAACAGTGGGAGGAAAGGGGAGGACCCAGAGAAAACCCACAAGGTTGGACAGGCGACCCTACTCCTTGTAACGTACAACCAGGGATTCGAAACCACGCCTGTTGACTCAATGACAGGCTTTATGATACAGTGCGCACGTGCTAACAATTCGGCCATCCAACCCCCATGTTATGGAGAAAATTAGAACCGAAATAGATAAGTTGGTACATGTGTACTTACTTTTTTTGAAAAAAAATATGTATGAAGAATTATTTCTGCCTTTGCATCACCAGTCAAAAAGGGGGCATATTCTGGCGCATTCCTCCCAGGTTGCCTGACTGTAGCTGTGGAAATTTAAACCTATGTAGAGTAACACGAATATAGATACGAGACAAACACATACAATTGTCATCTATTGATATACATTAAAAACAAATATTATGACAGTATTTTAGGTATACATATTCAAAAACGAAAAAGAAATGGAAAACAAATAATGTATAGTATACAATAAAAATGTTCTATAGCAAACGATTGTCATGCAAGATACACCCACATTTGCAAAATATAGACTGAGAATAGAGAAATTCAATAGGACTCCTATACTCTCATTGCCTCAATTTTTCACAACCGATTTGAAAAGAAAATAAGTTAAATATTCAAGATTTACTACTATAATTTAGTCTATGATACACATGCTCACATCAGCTCAGTTTTAAAAATAGTGTCCATATTGGTAAAGGTTATTGTATAGTTTTAGGGAAATATACCAAATTGGGAACAATGATCAAAATATACATTGTGTGATATGTTGATTTATAACATCTTAATATTCCCAAGTCTACTGTGTATTAACATAATAACTCACAGTGAATATACATCATATAACCCCCATGTTATAAGATACAAATATAAATTCGTTCTGTAATACAACTGTATTTCCTAAATAATGCAAGATTCAAGGTATTAACATATTTGTTCAGCTGCATCTGAATCAGACAAAAGGTGTAGTCTCTAGAGAGTCAATATATATTTAAGAAACAGGGGCTTTATGCCATTTATTTTGACTACTGGCATGCTTTTGATTATATCTGTGGAATAAAATTCATTTTAATTTATACACATGATCAATCTAAATTAAATCGTTTATAGCTTGATGTGTAATGGGCATGTTAAAAAAAATGAAGATACTAATAATAAATGTGAAATGAAATACAGGTAACTATATAGTATTTTAAAATGAACAAAAATGAATTCTTATGAATATAGCTTATCATTATTATTAATCGAATATTTAAAATTTTATATGGTAAAGACAATTGTGATTTGATAAGGACTCAACAGTAAGGATGGTCCATACATGGAAAACATTTATTACAAAAATCTAATCAAGGATCTTGGGGCTTTCACCAAATCGGATTGACCTTTATAGCCCACCCCCTCTAAATAAAGCTTAAAATAGTGTAATATCAATAATATATTGTTGAACCGCCAAATGATTCAAGATAATAACACAAATATAGAACATGTTAACTAGGTATTTTACTTATACGAATTTATAGATGGCTTATGACCTAAATTTTGTACCAGCAGTGCCAAGTCTGACCAAATTTTTTTTATTTGTATGGACGTCCTTCAAATTAGGGGGTCAAGCCTTTTGCAACTGATGACCATATTATTTGATTATTAGCTTATGGGTTATATAATATCATCTATATTTTAGTAGATGTTGGGTTTTCCCAGCTTGTGAAGAGACATTTGGTCATGTAAAATTTACTAATAGTTTAACCCATATAGTAAATGACCATATGTAATGAACTAATGTTTGACCCGTATAGTGTATGACCATATATAAAATAGTTAATTAACTAAAGTTTGACCTGTCTAGTAAATGGCTATATATTATAGTTAACTTATGTATTTAACATACAGTAAATAGTTTAACCCATATAGTAGATGATCATAATGAACTATTGTTTAACCCATAAAGTAAATGACCATATGTAATGAACTAACGTTTGACCCCTATAGTAAATGGCCATATATAATGAAGGAATATTTGACCTGTATAGTAAATGGCTATATAATATAATTAATTATATTAAACAAATAATGTACAGTATACAATAAAAACGTTCTATAGCAAACGGGTGTCATGCAAGATACGCCCACATTTGCAAAATATAGACTGAGAGTAGAGAAATTCAATAGGACTCCTATACTCTCATTGCCTCAATGTTTCACAACAAACTTGAAAAAAATCGATTAAAAATTAAGATTTACTAATATAATTTGGTCTGTGATACACATGATCACATAGGCTCAATTTTAAAAATAGTGTCCATATTGGTCAAGGCTATTGTATAGTTTTAGGGAAATATATCAAATTGGGAACAATGATCAAAATATACATTGTGTGATAACTTGATTTATCTTAATATTCCCAAGTCTACTGTGTATTAACATAATAACCCACAGGGAATATACATCATATAACCCCAATGTTATAAGATACGGTGTTAAATAGTGATCACTATAAACACAAATATAAATTTATTTGTTATGTAATACAAGTGTATTTCCTAAATAATGCAAGATTCAAGATATTTGTTCAGCTTCATCTGAATCAGACAAAAGTTGTAGTCTCTAGAGAGTCAAAATGTACTTAAGAAACGCAGGCTTTATGCCATTTATTTTGACTACTGGCGCGCTTTTGATTATGTCTATGAAATAAAATTTATTTTAATTTATGGACATGATCAATCTAAATTAAAGCGTTTATATCTTGATGTTTAATGACATGTTTAAAAATAATGAAGATACTAATAATTAATGTGAAATGAAATACAGGTTACTATAAAGTATTTTAATATGAACAATAATGATTTCTAATGAATATAGACTATCATTATTATTAACCAGCGGCTGCCAGGCAGGATACGCCCACATTTTCGAGAGATGGATAGAGAACAAGCAAAAAAGAAAGTGATTTTTCCTACAATCAAGGGCCATAATTCAGAAAATTACAATTCGATATGCGCAAATATGGAAAGGAACCCAGATCTTAGGTTTATAAACTTAGATTTCAAGTTTCAACAAAATCGGATAAAAATTGTGACCTCTATAGGGTCCACAACCTTGATATACCATATTTTTTACCTTATTTGAGAACAAGGGGCAGCCATTTTGTCTGTCAGTTTTGGGCTGATTTTCACGAAATTTGAACACAGTCGTCCTTAGGGTGTAACGGTGATATAATAATACGTTTTTTTAAATCAGATAAATATTAAGACCTCTATAGGGCCCACAAGCTAAAAACGCGATTTTTCGTACACTCAGGGGCCATAATTCAGGAAGTTATGGTCTGATATGCGCGAATCTCGATAGGATCCGAGATCTTTGGGTTATAAACTCACATACCATATTTTTACGCTATTTGAGAACGAACGACGGTCATTTTGTCTGTCAGTTTTGGGCCGATTTTCACGAAATTCAACTTAGCCGTCCTTAGGGTGTAACAATGATATAATAATATGGTTTTTTAAATCGAATAAAAATTATGACCTCTATAGGGTCCACAAGCTAAAAACGCGATTTTCCGTACAATCAGGGGCCATAATTCAGGAAGTTACGTTCCGATATGCGCGAATATCAAAAGGAACCGAGATCTTTGGGGTATAAGCATACATTTCAAGTTTAAACCAAATCGGATAAAAATTGTGACCTCTACAGTGTTCACAAGCCAAAAACGTGATTTTTACATGCCAATATCGAAAGGAACCGAGATCTTTGGGTGATAAACCTATATTTCAAGTTTCATTGAAATCGGATAAAAATTGTGACCTGTAGACTGTTCACAAACAATTGTGGACGGACGTCCGGACGGACGGACAGGAGCGACGACAATATACGTCCACATGAAAATGTGGGCGTATAAAAATACATTATGGGAGATTCGATAATGAGTTGGCAGTTCTCACTATTAGAGTTACAAACTAGATAATGTAAAGGCAATTTGATGAAAATTTCATTCAAATTGATCCACTATGAGCGCGAATTAAGCGGTTGAAATTTCCGGTTAGCCTTGGTCATCATTACTGAAGCCAGTACGATAAACAGCGTAGTCTCGATTATCCATTTAATCGTTAAATCGTCAAGGAAAGTTATGCAGTAAATCGGCTAATAATCCACTACAGATCGCAGGCGAGCGATGCCATCTAGAGTTGATTATGGTCTGGATAGGTTAATTAATGTCTAATTAATAATTTAGATAACATTTCAGGCCTAAAGAAAGACCTGCAAGAGACAGATTTAGCTCTTGCATAATGTATGTTTAATCGAATATTTAAAATATTATATGGTAAAGACAACTGTGTTGTAAAAAGGACTCAACAGTAAGGATGGTCTATATTTGAAAAACATTTATTACGAAAATCTAATCATGGATCTTGGAGCTTTCACCAAGTCGGATTGACCTTTATAGCCCAGCCCCACTATGTAAAGGTTAAAATAGTGTAATATCAATAATATATTGTTGAACCGCCAAATGATGCAAGATAATAACACAAATATAGAACATGTTAGCTATTTATTTTACTTATAAGAATTTATAGATAACCTATGACCTAAATTTTGTCCCAGCAGTGCCAAGTCTGACCAATTTTTTTTATTTGTATGGACGGCCACTGCAAATTAGGGGGTCAAGCCTTTTGCAACTGATGACCATATCATTTGATCATTAGCTTATGGGTTATAATATCATTTCATTTCAACTTACATCAGCTCTAGTTATAGCAGATGTTGGGCTTTCCCAGCTTGTGAAGAGACATTTGGTCATGTAAAATTTACTAATAGTTTAACCCATATAGTAAATGACCATATATAATGAAAAACTTATGTTTGACCCGTATAGTAAATGACCATATATAATACATGTATAGTTAATTAACTAATGTTTGCCCGTATAGTATCTGGCTATATATTATAGTTAACTAATGTATTTAACATACAGTAAATTTAACCCATAAAGTAGATGACCATATATAATGAACTAATATTTAACCCATATAGTAGATGACCATATATAATGAACTAATGTTTAACCCATATAGTAAATGACCATATATAATGAACTAACGTTTGACCCCTATAGTCAATGACCATATATACTATTCAAAAAAAGTAGGGGATATTTGATTTTTAAGTGTTATTAAAGTCACCTAATGAAACTGACGAAGAAACAAATGACAAAATGAAATGAAGTTCACATTCATCGATTTATTCCAAATGATCGTTAGACAAAGTAAGGCACAGACTGACCATTATAAGGGTAAAATGATACCCGGGGTCAAACAGCAAAGTTACCACAGCATCACAACCAAGTCAGTAACGGGTAAATCCTCCTCTGTTTGCCAAACAAGCATTGATCCGACGTGGCATACTCCTAATGAGACGTCTAAGGTCAGTTTGGTCCAGATTGTCCCATTCCTGTTGCAACGCAGCAGCAAGTTCTTGGACATTGGCAGGACGTTGTTGACGTTGACGTAACTTCTGTCCAAGCATGTCCCAGACATGCTCGATGGGGGAGAGGTCGGGACTCAGTGCTGGCCAAGGTAATGTGGTGATGTTCTGTTGTTGGAGGTAACCTGTAACGATCCTGGCCCTGTGACATCTTGCGTTGTCATCCTGGAAGATGAAACGGCGGCCATGACGTCGTGCGAACGGCACAACATGGACTGCCAAGATGTTGTCCCGGTAGTACTGGCCTGTAACACGCCCTGCAACAACATGTAAAGCCGTTCTTCCAGCAACAGTGATGCCTCCCCACACCATAACAGAACCACCCCCAAATCGATCATGTCTGATGACATTAACGTCTTGGAAGCGCTCGTTTCGACGACGCCACACCCTCCTACGTCTGTCCAAAAAATCAACAGTGAACCTTGACTCATCTGAAAACATCACATTGCTCCAGCGTCGATTATCCCAGTGTTGACGATCCCTACACCAACGACGTCTTGCCTGAATGTGATGATCTCTCAAACAAGGGATCACGCGAGGACGTCGGGCGCGAAGGTGACCCCTATGCAGTCGATTCCGAATCGTCTGGCCACTCACTCTCACACCAGTGTCTGTTTGAAGACGAGCGCTGATCTGATTTGCTGTGATGACACGATTTCTCAAGGCCAAGGTACGGATAAATCGATCCTGGGCTTGAGTTGTCGCCCTTGGTCGACCTGAGCGTGGTCTGTCCTGTACAGATTGTGTATCACGGTATCTGGACCATAGCCTGCTTATGACAGACTGAGAAACATTCATCGTCCGCGCCACAACCGCCTGTGTTGTGCCGATCTGTAGCATGCCAAGGGCACGTAACCTTTCATTTTGGGTAAGCCGACGCATATCAAAATTTGTTTTCTGGTCACTAAAACAATTAAACTGATGTTTCCACCCTGGAATTCAATGCCACAATGACTGTAACATTCAAAGTCAGAGTCGTGCAAATCTTGGGTTGGACCCCCATGATGATCCCAAGCATCACCTGCATTCCATGCGGTAGCTATTGGTGCGTTTGGGCGTCACATGTAACTGGAAATGTTTCTTCTGTTAGGTTCTATAGTGACTTTTTTCGTAGTCATTTGCATATTTTAGTATTATGCCCCCAAAATCAAATATCCCCTACTTTATTTGAATAGTATATAATGAAGTAATATTTGACCTGTATGGCAATTGGCCATATAATATAGTTAACTAATGTTTGACCCTAGTTAACTAATGTATTTGACATGAAGTAAATGACCATGGCTACCTTTATATAATTAACTAGATTATGGCTACCAATATGTAATGAACTAATGTTTGAGCCATATACGTATTGTATAAAGGTGTTATATATGTCACCAGTATAGTATTAGTTAATGGTGTTATAGTTAGAGTGTATATATTCATCAAAGCATGTATAAGGCATTATGGGTCACCCGTATACAGGTTGTTTGAAGATCGCTGATATAGAAACCATTGTATTTATATATTGATCAAAACGAATGTTACCTGATCTTTACAATATAATATAAACAATATAAATGAGTACTTACATCTTCCGACATCGTTATTCCTTGCAATAATTAACAGTTCGATTCTCAGCCAGACATGTAGCTATGGGGAACCCGCTACAGTAATGACGCGTATTTCAAGTCTCTTTGACAACACTGTTAATACTACTATAGTAGAGACTGGAATATCGAGACTTGGCAGATCACGCGATTTCTAACAACATAGCATTCTGCACACATTGTTGACTACATTTAATTGACTCAACATATTTCATTTATTTCAAACGAGTCCACCCAATGTGCAATCGCGATAAGTGTGTGTCGTATTATATCCAGATGAATTAGACTTTGAATGAAATAATTACACCATAGGTTCCCAACCTTTTTTGGGTGGCGACCCCATTCCAGACCCAGGATCAGATCACGACCCCTCGAAGAACAAAGTCACATTTTATTATGAAACAAAATTATCATTCACTTTTATTATTGTTTACTTATTAAAAGTCTGATAACAAATTATTGAATTTTTTAATCAGTGTGATGGTTGCGCCTGTTTTTCAGCGACCAGGTTTTCAAGCGTAGCTCAACGCTACTCAGCGCGACAAACATGTCCCTTTCTCTTTCATCACAACCATTGTAGAAAATGACTGTTCGCATATGTATGACGACGGGTACGGCATGAGGAGCCGTATTGCACAAAGTGAAAGTACTACGTGGAATCCCGTCATAGTGAGAAAACAATGATAGACCGATGAAACAAATCGTGGCCATGAGAGGAAATCGATTAGCAATGTGGCAAGAGATGTAAAAGATCTCATGTTCCCGAAGCAACGGCCGCAGTTTTACAACTTCTATCCGTTGCCAGAACTTTTAGGTACGTTATTTTTCTTTACTGCAGACACGTGGACAATAACGTTGTCCAATCAGAGGTCGTGACACAAACACATATCCAAATACAAACATTGCGATCTCCACCAAAAAATGAATAGATAAGTTTACAGCCGTTAAAAGGTTTTATTTTTTAGTTGAAAAACTCACGGAAAAGCAATCGAAACTGTTTTAGAGACTAGAGAAGATATTAGTTGCATGAAAATTGGCAGCGGCAAGTCTCTTCGTGTTGGAATTTTCCAGCAACCATGAACGAACCTTGAACTTTGCAACTCGATTATCACAGGTAGATATTTCAGTTGGAATGCGCGAGACTTGGTATTCGCGGTGGTATTTTCTATCGAGGAATCTGAGAGGTCTAGAGCTGGGTCCAAGACCAATCGAAATTAGTGACGAAAACTGTAGAATGTAGAGTATTACGTGAAGGCCTTGATAAGATGTACGGGGTTATAGCGAGATCAAGCCGTCAATTGAAAATGTATAGATTACATGAAAAGATAGAATTTTTTTTAAAGTTCTCAGTGCTCGCGACCCAGAGGTTGGGAAACGCCGAATTACACTCATATATTTCATTAACTGCTAGTTCTATATGTTTATATTTAAGATCAATAACAGATTAGCTTTACAGACTAAAACAGTATTTTATCTATATCATAACCAATGCAAAATTTTATCCACAGTCTATTTGAAATAATGTTTGTACAAATATATCTAACTTTAAAGCGAGAATTTCAAATTTTCTAAGAAAGTCAAAACATAATTATTTCTATGTCTTTTGCTCAGTAGGTTATCAACTGACTATTATACGATCATGGGCATTATTTCCCACCCTAAAAATCATTGACACAGGAAATAATAACACAATTACCTCCCTTGTTTTCCTATTGACAACAGGTGTTCAGCCATCTCACAACGTTGGAATTTGAATTTGAAAATGATATTTTTGCCAATTTCTCAGCTGGCAATTAAATAGTGAATTATAGGATTAATAGGATTATTATTTAACAAGGTAGGACTGTTTATGGATACCATCTATTTTCAGGCTTTATTTTAAAAAAATTTAAAAATATAACTTAAAAATTTGAAATTTCCGCTTTAAGCGTTAGCTCACTTTTAGTTCAATCATAACCAATGCAAAATTGTATCTACAAATAACCAATGCAAAATTTATCTACAGACTATTTGAAATAATGTGTATACAAATATATCTAACAAATATGTCTAACTTTAAGCGTTAGCTCTCTTTTCATCAATGTTAATTTTGCTCTATGTTCCGAGTGTGGAAAACCCGATAACTATGCATGCATTGAAAGGTATCTGGAGTAAGACTACTAATTATTTCCTCGTCCCTTGTAATGTTAGACAATGAAGTTAAATTGAGTAGGGGGGATATAAACATCAATATTAGGGGTTTACAAACCTCATACATGTTAATTGCACTAGGGGAGTTGCCATTTTGACGGGCAGTTTTGGTCCAATTTGTCATGAAATTCGAACTCAACTGTCATTATGTTGTAACGGTGATACATTTGAACGGCTTTTTCAAATCAAATAAAAATTGTGGGCTTTAGAGAATTCACAAGCTAAAAGCGCTATTTTTCGTACATTCAGGAGTCATAATCTGTAACGTTACAATTGGAACCGAGATCGTTGGAATATAAGTGTGACTTCTAGAGTGTCCACAAGTTAAAAACACGAGTTTGTGTATAATCAGCGACAATAACACAGGCATATATTGTCGGATATGCGCCAATATCGAAAGTCATCGAGATCTGTGTGATACCAAAATATATTTTGATGGGTGTATTCACTGTCATGGTCAGCTATAAACGTCATTTATGATTAGTTGAAAATAAGGCTCACTTTTCGTTATGACATGTATAAAAAACTTTTGTCTATTCTTGAATTAAACCACGCGCTTAGAATATATCACAATAAAACAATATAGATATATATTTAAGTAGAAATATTTGTCATTCTCAATCCAGAAAACACCAAAATGAAAGTGTGTCTTGTTTTAATAGTTTTTCTAGGTAAGTCTGTATTTTCATTTTTCATTGAATAACTGAAACCGGCTGATTTACGGTCAAAGTATTGGCTATCGGTACTTCATGTAAAATTTAAGTAATTAACCTGACAAATTAGTTCCAACCTCGTGGGTTTTCTGGCAGCTAAAATCCACTACGCACAAGCGAATTATGGAAATAAAATTGAGCCATATTATGTTAGTCCCGAAATAACCTAGATTGTGTGGAGTTTTCGCCCAAATTTCTTCGATTTCAAACAAGCGATTGTCATCAATGATACGCCCACATTTTGTACGAGATGATCATAGAACAAGCTAAAAAGAAAGGCGGTCATAATCCAGTAAGGTCCGACATGCTCAAGCATCGAAAGGAACCCAGATAGTTGGGATATAAACATATATTTTAAGTTTCATCAAAATAAGATAACAATTGTGACCTCTAGAGCGTCCACAACCTATTTTAATAGATCGGAGCAGAGCACACGGACTATGTTTGTGCGCGTACAAATAATTTGTAGGCGACGGTTCAAGGATTGCCACCGCTGATCTTTTAACCTCGTGGGCTTTCCCCGGCTGCTTGATTTTTCGATTAAAGTCAAGATAATACATTGATTTCTACCCATTGAATTTTATTTTGAAATATTAAGCCGATGTAACGTTTTATTTTCGTTTTTGGTCTCTTGACTGTTGACAATGGAACATGCATTCTGTGGGCCTAACATTTTAAATGCAGACATTTCACAGAGCTAATCAAATTTAATTAGCCAAATCAACCGTCTTTGTTTTATTTATTTAATCTATTGTGATGGAATTGTTCTATTTCAGTGATAGGCGGACATATTTTCAGTGTTTCGCGAGCAATGGATGTCAAACTTCTACGGAATTTTACAAGGGACAAGTTTCCGCCTTAAATTATACTGGTTGTGGTACGTAAGCCTTTATAAGTTATTTTTACGGACCCTCTAACAAATAATGAAATTCCCCTTATTAAGCTACATAGTAACTCATCTATCAATGATATTCGGTTTGGAGATGATGTTTATTCTATCCACATTTATCTAATGCCTATATATTTAAAAATAAATCAATGTTTTGTTTCAGATGCGGCTGAACTGTTGGCGTCGGTATCATTATTAGTGGTGATGTTGGTAGCCTCAAGACTTGTCTCAAACTTAACTTTCAGCCAGCAACTATATTTTCACTTCTTTTAAACACTGCACACGATTAAGCGTGGGGATACTTTTCTCTTATCCCGCCGTTACAAATATCCTTTTTTCCATATCGTGATTAATACCACATTTTACCCCCCCCCCCCTACCAAATTTAAAAGAGCAAAAAAGTTATTGCAGAGTACTGAGGTATATGTGATACAATTAACTTTTCTAAAACAATATTTTACTCAGGGACTGGAGAAAAGGCATTATCAATTATAAACCAGTATTTTACCCAGGGACTGAGAGAAAGAATGTGTAAAGCAGTATTTTACCTAGGGACTGAGAGAAAGAATGTGTAAAGCAGTATTTTACCTAGGGACTGAGAGAAAGAATGTGTAAAGCAGTATTTTACCCAGGGACTGAGAGAAAGAATGTGTAAAGCAGTATTTTGCCTAGGGACTGAGAGAAAGAATGTGTAAAGCAGTATTTTACCCAGGGACTGAGAGAAAGAATGTGTAAAGCAGTATTTTACCTAGGGACTGAGAGAAAGAATGTGTAAAGCAGTATTTTACCCAGGGACTGAGAGAAAGAATGTGTAAAGCAGTATTTTGCCTAGGGACTGAGAGAAAGAATGTGTAAAGCAGTATTTTACCCAGGGACTGAGAGAAAGGCTGAATCTATGTAAAACATCATTTTAATCAGGAATTAGGGCATAATAAACAACATTTTACTCGGGCACCAGAAAAATACCGAATCTATGTAAAACAGTCGTTTACTCAGGGAAGGCTGAAATTATATAAACACAACTTTACTTTAAGATTTGGAAACAGACTGAATATATATGTTAAACCACTTCAGTCTATAAAAAAACCTACGCTGTTCTTACCTAAATTCAGCTTGGCAGCACGCCGTCAAAATATCTTATTAATTAAATTCATAAAAGAATAAGGAGTGAAAAATAAAATAGACATTAATTTGATCAAAAATAAGAGCATGGAGATTGTAACTAAAAACACTGGACGCGGATTGTCTAATGTCTTGAAACAGGTGTGTGAGAGCACTATAACAGCCGCATGGTAACGTGAAAGGCCTGGACCATAATTAAATTG